TAAGAGCTTGATTAGCTGGTTCAGGTGTGTTTAATTGGGGTTGGAGCTAAACTCTTCAGGACACCGGCCCTCCAGGACCGAGTTTGGACACCCCTGGTCTAGCTCATGTTTTTCAGTTTGTTTATTGGTCAGAACTGTAGAAATAAAACAACATATTCTCAAATGGAATCTTGCTGTAATTATGTTTGTAGAATTTAAAAATAATGTTGGACGTTTTTGCCAGAGTTGCCTGTTTTACTAGTGACCCAGAATTTGTTTGTTCATGCTTAAGACCAGTTGTAAAGCCTTAGTATTATCTAGTTCTTTGTATGAGTGTAATATGACACTGACTCAGAACAGGAGTTAAGCAAACAATGGTGTGGCTCAAAAAGGGAAAATACCGTGTCTCAATAACTTTGTTATTTCAAGCATGACCAGTTTTATTATAGAGTTTTGGGTCACAATCTGATCTCATAGCAAATAGATTACAAAATTTCATATGTTTTTTTTTTTCTAAATGACCTTGGCTGGTTAAAGTTTTGAACTGAAATGAAAAATAGCTGTTCATAGAGGAATACAGATATTTCGAATGGATTCATTAAGTTTTATGTTAAAGGGAGACTCATCCTATTGTTATCAGAGAGACAATATCTTGGTAACTATGAGGTTCAAAAGGAGTCAAAAGTGCAATTACCCAAGAGCTTGTTTACTCTTGCTTGTGTTTTTATGAGCAAATTATATCACACATCATTACATAAAAGTTTAAACATTGTTTTCTTCATGGCAGATTTATATTCTTTATAACTAGGTGAATATTTCTGAAAAACAATAAAAGAGTCCAAGGAATGGCCTGAGCTATTTTAACCAATCAGAGAACACTGAGAACACGCATGGGTTTGCTGACAAGACTTTGTAGTTAATGCATGTTGTTGAAGTGCAAGGATCAGAAGTGTGTTTTTCTTCATCCGTGCACTTCAATAAGGGCATGTGATCACAAAAGGTCAAAGTGTAATTAATTTAATGTATTTTATCTAAGCCAGAAAGGTGAAAATGTTCAGCAGCCTTTCATGTGTCAATAAGGTATGTCTCTAATATATGTAAATTCAACTGCATATACATTTTCCATCCATTTGGATTGCAGTTACAACATAAAGTAATAA